AAGAAAAAAAAACACAAAACCAAGAAAAATGGAACAAAAAAAAAAAAGAGCTGTAGTTTTCTCCCCAGTGTAAATGATATTTATCAGTGAACTAGCAGATGTAACCTTTTTTTAAAGGTATTGTTAATAAATATTCTGTCATTTGTAAAGATACCTGTCTGCCAGGAGCGTTTCTCCCCTCCATCCCTTTGCACCCACAGTGACAAATGTCAGCACCCAGTGCCCACCCGGCTCCTCCCCACATGGGGGGGCAGCAGACAGGTCTGCTTCAGAGTAAATCTATTAGGGTGAGAGCAGCTGTTTCTGTAGAGTCCTGAACTTTCAAAGCTTCCATGCAGGTTGGTGTGGTTGCAGTGCAGCTTGGGCATCTCTGAGTCTCACCAAGATATCAGAAAGGATCAGAAACAAAACAAACGCTTCCTTCCCCTCAGGTAAGGCATCGCTTCCTTCTTGTCTTTGTGGATCGTGGCAACGTTTTGTGTTTCTAACTGTGTTAAGTGTGGCAGTGTAAGTTGTGCGATTGGAGCAAATCTTGGGTGTTTCCTTTGGTTTTTCAGAGGAACCCAGCACACTTTGCCCATCAGTAATGCTTAAAACCAAAAGGACGCGATTCACTTTTTAGAAAGAAATTGTAGAATCACCATCTTCCATGGGAAATGTGCAAAGATTTATTAAAACAATTAAAATAGCCATGATTTCAAAAGGATTTCTGTTTCATTGGAATGCAGCCTAAGCAGTAATTTAAAAATTCATGTTTTAATGTCTTCGTGCCACCATAGGGCCGTGCAGCACTCAGCCCGGCCACGTGTCAGGCAGTTTCATCAGCTCCCAAGCAGCAGCACAGGCAAGGCTCGTGATGCTGAACATTGCATGGGGAAGGAGAAGCGGTGACACTCAGATGGAGGTAGGGAGCTTGGCACCTGGTGGGGGGCACCTGAGCATGGCTTTGGGGAAAAAGCACAGAAATCCAGGTGAGGGAAACAACAGACTGCAAATGTTTGTGTTGTTTTCCCATCATCCCCACCAGCAGTATGGAAAATCCCAAGCTTCTCTGCCACTTCTGAAGCTCCTAGCAGAAATGTGGGTACCTGTCCAAGTGCCCTGAGAGCTGAAGGCTTTCGCTGCAAGTGCAGAGCAGTCACAGTGCACAGCTCAAATGCAAACTAAACCGAAATGTACTGCATTAATCTCTGCAGCACCTTTCCATTAATGGGAGTGAAATTATATTTACAAATCTTATTTATTAGAGGACTTGAAGCCGTGACATAAATGAAATACATTACAGTAAATGAATTCTTTCATCTCGTTTTTAGGATTTTACTAATGAAATACTGATTTTCAGACTGTTAAAGCTGGGCACCTCCAATCCATTCCAATCACAAGCAGTAGAGACATTTGAGGCACAAACATTGTTATATTAATGAGCTACATTAATTTTGATGGAGCCATGCTATTTCACCCAGATGAGAGCTGCCTCATTTATTATAATTATTTCTAGTCTTTAGCACCTGGGAGCTCCATTATGTTTAGGCACTTCCCAAACAACTTCATTGCTCAGTGTTTTGTTGTTTTTTTGTCTTCCTATTCCATGCTTACGTGCTTGGGGCAGCCGGGTGGGCAGGAGGCTCTTTGGGCAGGATGCAAAGAGCAGAGCAGCTGGTGAGGGCAGACCAGAGCTTGCTTGGGGCAGGTCTGGTAACTTGCTTGGATGGGTAAGAAGAATGAGCTGCAATCTTGGGCTTGGATATTCAAACTCACCTGAAGGCAGTTGGAATTACAGATGGAGGAGGGGCCCAGCTCCTTTAGTATCAAAAAGCCTTGGTAAAAACCACAGGGAGCTCCTTGGCAAACTTCCTTAGCTATGCATAACTGAGGGCTGTGTTCCCAGGCTGTGTTCTATAGATCGGGTTGAGGAAAGGCATCAGAACGTGCCAGGAAAGTGCTGCTTTTTTAATTTTTTTTTTTCCCCCTTACGCTGTAACCTCTTACACCACCGTCTGTGGGTTGGGGCTGTCGCCTCGCCATTGGCACCGCCGTGCTCTTTCCACACCGCTCACAGCAGTTGTTCTAAATGAACCAACAAACAGTGCTGGAACCACAGCCGAGCAGTTCTTCGCGTGCGGCTGCCTCAGAAGACGTCGTCGTGCAGAGCGTTGCAGGGGAGGCCCTCGGTCAGGCCTGGCTCCAGCCACGTCTCGCTGGGGCAGCTGCGTGCCCTCTGCAAAACAAGCAGAGCTGCAGCACCGACTGAACCAGCGAGCCATCAAGAGCTGCAGGGTAGCCCACAGCGGCAGTAACGCCAGCACCTCACCAAATGTATGCTTTAATTTAGGCATGGAGCGCTCGCAGCAAGCAGCTCCAAGGTCTCCTATCCCTGTGCCCTGACCTTCTGCTCACCCTGAGCTTCCCTGAAGGACAGCAGGACTGAAGGTAGCGCTGAGATGCCCCTGGGAACAGAACAGCCTCTGTGCGTTCCCATTTCCTGGCTGCGGTGTTAATATTTGCCGTTTCTCACATTCTTATTTGTGATACCCTAAGTCATGTTATTTTACACCCGTGGCTTTGATTAAAAACAAACATTTGCTAATCTTTTAAGCCTGTTTCCTTGACCGGACCATGGAATAATACCCCGAAAATCAAACCTCTATTCTGAGGGGACAAATTAAAATCAAGTTAGTGAGCAGCACTTCCTTGAGCAGACAATGAGGAGTTTTATCTTATCTGTAAGGCAAATGTATTTACCGGGAAAGCGACAGCAAACATAATAAGGCTTAAAACCAGCTTAACAGTAGGACACGAGCATCTCTCACCGTTCGGTTTCCCAAAACAAATCGGCTCTGCAGGAGCTGAGCTCCAGTCCCTGCCAAGGCACGCCGTGCCTGGCTGCGCTGCTGCCACGGGAGGCAGGGCTGGAGGGACAGCACACAAGTGTTCCCTCTGTTGGTTAAGAAAAACCGAAAGCGATTAAAATATGACTTTACCTCGTAGTGATTTGGAAAGGGATCTCTGAACTTGATCCTGGGCGTCGGAATGGGCGGAAACAGTTTGCTCCACGTGTGTTGTCTGTGGGAATAGGAGGTGAAGGGCTGTGAGGGCACTGCTGGGTGCTGAGGAAGCGTCTGACCTGCGGGCACCAGCAGCCCTGACTGGGGGAGCAGCGCAGGGCTGTGCCTGAGGGCAGCCTGGTTTGGGAGTTCAGGACAGGCTGCCCTGTGCTCAGATCGTGGTTTCTGGACGTAATCTGTGTCTTGGCAAGAGAGCAATTGCAAGGAATTGCATGGGTTGCCTGTAAGATGCTGCATTTAGTGGTGATGAGTTGATGGTTGGACTGGATGAGCCGACGCGTCTTTTCCAACCTTAGTGATTCCGTGATTCCTTATTGTGGCCCAAGCAGTTGCACATTTGTGGTAGCAAGAGCTGCAGTGCAACCGTTTCCTTGCATCTGACACAGCTCAGAGTACAGAATACACATCTCAGTCACCAAAAGGCTCTGTCTGCCAAGGTCCAAGCAGGGCCCTATTTTAATGGGAACGTGGCCAGCGTGAAGGTGACAGGACTTAGCTCAGGAGGAGCGTGCAGAGCCTGCTGGGGACCGGCCTGGTGCCCACGAAGCAGAGGTGAGGCTGAGGCATGGCTGCCCTGCAGCACCTGAGCCCTGGGCACTGCAACCAGCCCCGCTCCCCTGCCCCATTTGTTCTGTGACAGCTCTGGCTGATCTCTGGTTCGTTGAGCGCTTTGGTTACTTTGACTTTCCTTCTAAAGCTTTCCGATTTCTGTCAAGTTTTCTTTTATCCTATTATTCCTCCTCAGCAGGGAGTCTAAAATAAATTCCTGTTGCTAACTTACTCTTTTCCATAGCTTTCATTTTGAGACAGAAGAAAAATCCTCATCTCTCTCCCACCCACCCTTCCTCAAAGCATTTTCAATCACTTTGGAGCTAAACCTTCCTGGCTGAGCGGCTGCTGCCTTTAAGGAGACATTGATTGGGAACTGATTATTTGCTGAAGGGAGGGGAAGTACCAAGGCTGGCACAAAGCAAGATCTGACTGAGCAGGTTATGGGATGTCTGCCATTGCTGTGCATGGACCGGGGCTTGGGAAGGCATGCAGCCAAGAAAGGAATGTGCGCGCCCGGGTGCAGGCACTCCATCTTCACAGCTCCTACCACGAAGAGCAAAGTGATCTCAGAACAGTAAATAATCAGTTGTGCTCAGCAGAAACAGGGGGATCTGAAAAGGCCGTTTGTTGTGAGGTGGCATTTCTGTGGGCATAAAGAGGGACTGGTTTGTGCTCTGCCTCTTCCCCCAGCTTCTAGCAGGGGCCAGATCTGGAAGGACCAGAATAATCCTTTGTGTCCTGGCCTCCCAGGAGGAGAAATAAGTTTAGCTCTCTCCACACAGCCCCAGTGGCACATGGTTTTCAAAGAGCTGAGGGAAGGCTGAGTGACCCGCTGCCACCTGCCTCAGGGTGCCCAAATTCAGTTCAGCTTCAGCCAAAGGGACCTGGGGCAAGGCTGCTGCCAGGAAAGATGGAGAATTTGGGAAAACAGCAGTAAAGACCTTCCCAGCATGCTCAGGGAAACAGCAGCAGGGGTGCAACCTGCTCTTACCTCAGTCTGAGTGTGGTTTTGATTTACACTACTGCTGCATAACGTAACCAAGGAGGTGTGGTTTTCTTCGGAGCTGGTGCATTTGTAGTTGTGCTGTTTATCAATGAAAGATTTTGATGGAGCTGTGCCCTAATCATTTATTGAGTCAGCAATTAAGTTACACATCACTTCTGGACTGGAAACACTTAAGGATGGGAGCACGAGTGCCCAGCAGCACTGAGGTGGGAGCACAGCCGGGTTCGTGGTGGCTGCATGCCTCTCAGGTGCAAGGGTCCTTGCAATGGGGCAGTGCTGTGGTGCTTACAGTGATGCTCTCAGTATGGTCCTGGTCTTTTTTTTTTTGCAGAACACTGAAAAGTGGAGTGATTAAATATTTTGTCGCAAAAAAGTAATCTAGACATCTGTGTTTGCCTTTATATGGCTTAGACCACGGCCCTTGCTGTTAGCACCACTTGGACCATTAGGCTTTGGAAATGCCCTGTGGGCCCCTCCAAGCTTCACTCTGCTTCAGATGTTGTGCTGTGTCTTTCTTTCTAAATTTGCTACTTTCCCATGGGCTGGATTTTAGAAGGCCAAAGATAAACAGAAATAAGAGAATACGTTCTTTTTCTCTCTTGTAACCTCCGTGATGAGACGGATAAAATACTTGATTTCACATTTTGCTGGAGTGCCTTTACTGACAGCATGGCTCCCAAGATTCTCTGTGACCTGTTCGAAATGACAGCCCTGCAGCAGGTGCTGGGGGGCTGCTGGCCATGGGCTGTGTGGGGTGCAGACAAGAAGGGGAACAGGGCAGGGCAGGGTGGGCATCTTAGGGTATGCAGGGCAATCCTCTTGGGGGATCTCCTCCAGGAGAAAGTATTGCTCAGAGACAGAGGTGAGGAAGTGTAGAGGATGCTCATTCATGAAGACAAAGGGCAAACTAGGAAAGCATTCAATTGTGCTTTTCATCAAGACAGTTTCCTCATCTGTTACTGCAAGTAAGTGAAAAGGTTCTCCAAAAGGCTACTTTTCCTTCTAGCTGTGATCTTTACCTCTGCTTGCATCACAGAAAAATGTATAGAAGCCTTTAGTAGAATGAAATTCCTTATAATGTCTTGAAATTGCATAAATTTCAAATGATTCCGTGGCTTGAATTGCGTGGTACACTTCATGAATGTTCAACAGCGGTAAAAACTGGGAGTATTAATGAAATTGTGATATAGGGAACCTGTTCTACTGTTCTTTTTTTAATATCTGCAGATATTAAACATACAGGCTAACCGCTGTGCTTCATCTTTATGCACCTCCTGCCTCCTCCCAGAGTGGGCCAGTGGGCTAGAAAAAGGGACAGTGAGGTAAAGAAGTGGCCAGGGGACACATCAGGCTGACCACTAATTCAAAATGCACTACAGAAATTAATCAGAAATTAGCAGAGTTGAGGATGGCACTTAAACTGAGGGGAACTGTGTGTATTGTGAAGCAGAAAACTGATGCTTGCTGCTTGTTTCAGGGAAAAAGCTTGTAGTTACGTGGATTCTCTGATTCATCACTTATGGCCTGACCAGTCACTGCTACTGAAATCCAACACAGCTGGCTTTCTTTACAGCACATTCTTGGAAGTTTGGCTATGTGGAAGCTGTTTTAGCATCCATAGCCTCTGCAGTATTTAAAAATAAGCTTAAAAACTCACAACAGCCAATACTTGAATGCATTTGTTCTTGTCAAGGGGTGACAAGGAGCAGAAAGCTCAAAAGACCACTGGAATTTTTACCTCTTCAGAGTACATACCACACTGTTGACATACAGACTACTTGCCCAGGGTAGAACACTGTGTGTACCTGTGCTGGCCAATGAGAAAATCATGGACTGCGTGTACATTTTGGCCATGAAAGATGGTCTCATCAGTTTTACTGAGGTTAAAGACAGAATCCCCCTCTGGAACTCATAAACTCTGTAACGTCCACTTAAGTGAGGAAATGAGATATGGACAAAAAGCCTTTTAGGGAAATGTTCTCTCTTGATATATGGGGTTCTCTTTGTTTTAAAATTAAATTGAATGACCCTCTTAACCCATCAGTTTGGCTGAATATTATTATTGATAATTAATGAGGCTGATTCTTCCTTATTCAGTACTTCTGCTTTGTGTAATTATGCTTGAATACAAAACTCAGCATCCCTTCCAAAAATTAAGCAAAGCTTTTAATGACCCCCAAGCCTGTTCAACACCAATACTTAGGTACACTGAAGAAATTAATACTTACGATTTGCATACTATAGCAATAAGTGTGACCGTACAGCATGTGGATACACAAAGCACAGCAAGACTCCAGACTATCAGATTCTCCTGTTTGTTTTCTCCTGAGTATCAGAGAAAAAAAAATGCATGTACTTTAGTGCAGATGTCATTTTAAGCATGCTTTTACAAAAGGTTTCATCATCTGTTTTCTATTCATATCACAGTTTAACATGCAAACTATGCCGACTTGGTATCTCAAATTAAAAATGAAATGTAAAGCTTCAGGAATAGATTCTGTTATGCTGACATTCTGACTTCCTCAATACACTTCTTTCACTGCACTGCCACCAAGCAGAGCAACCTGGCCCGGCAGCACTGCCAGGATGCCAGCCTGTGTCACACCTCATCCCCAGATGCCCAAGGCAGCAGAGGCACTGCTTGCTTGTAGCCTCAGGCACAACCTGTTTGTTTTCCATTAAATTGCTCTTCACTTCTGCTCACCCTTTGCACAGGAACTGCATTTCTCTGCCTTCGTAAACTTGCCTGTAAAAAAGATGTTGAAACCTGCAGTTTTTCCTGTGAGCTGTTGCTGATGCATTTCCTCTGGGAGGATTTCTCTACTGCCTCTGCCTGCGAGCAGACACAGGTATTTCTACCAAGGTCAACGTTTTTATTTTAGAAAGGCATGCTTAGTGACCAGGACCATTACTTTGTGCCACATTATGCCATATAACAAAAACATTTACATTGAACTGCATTTTCAAAAGGTTGCCGAGTCCGTGTGTGCTTCTGATAACTACCAGTCCTACGTATCAAATGTCAGCACTGCCATTACCAGGTAATTGAGAGGACATAAATCGGCCAGCAGCAGACACCTTGGTTTTATTGGTGCAGTAGAAAAAACACAGTATTGAATTTGGGCCAGATTTCTTCCTAAGAAACAAGGAGCTGAGTCTGGTGTCTCAGAGTAGGCAGTGGGAGCAGGGCATGGGTGCTGTCATGAGCTTGCATCAATGTGTCCTGGGCCTTCATGCCACTGAGACAGAAATCCCCAGCTGCAAACATGGCTTATTTATTGATTTTGGATGGCTTATTTAGTCTGCAGTGCTGTCACTTTTCTTTCAAGAAATCAGGAGTGTTACTGTCAACCCAGCTGGGTTATGCCCAGTGCAAACAACTTGTGAAGGTTGCCATCATAAAGGCTGGGAAGCATTGTTTCCCAAACCAAAACCAGAAGAGTCCTAAGTCTTTTCCATATTATGGTTGATGGTGCTCCCCAGAGACTTTGAAGACCTCCTAGTACCAACCCCTTGCTATGGGTAGGGGTGCCAGTCACTAGACCAGGTTGCTCAAAGCTTCATCCAGTGTTCAACATGTAAGAGAGACAGAGAAGGAATAAAGGAACCATCCTGAGAGCCACACAGAAAGCTGGCAGCAGAGTGGATCAGAATGGCTGAAATGTGTACTGAAATCCAGCAACTAATGGACTAACCTCTGCTGGGTCAATGGATTGTAACAAGCCTCTAAATATCCCCTTTCCTAAGATAAACTGAAGAAGTTGATCCTGTTCTTGGATACGTTTGAGATTTTAGTCTTTGTTGTTTTTTTTGGTTTTTTTTTTGAAAAAAAAAAACAAAAAAGGAAGACTAATTTCCTTTTTGTCTCGTTAAACAACTAAATGAATTTCTCATATTTGGTATTTGCTGCCTCTTAGTAGAGGAGTCATTTACAATTATGTTTCCTGGTTCCCCAGCTGCCATCATGCTGCAGGATAGAGATGGCTTCAGAAGTGCTTCAGTTGACAGAGCTTCTCTCAGATTCTTCAGAATTGCTGGGAAAGCAGAACTGGGACAGCACAGATGTGCTGTGAGTACTTTCCAGCCCCAAACTTGATATAATCATCTGTTAAACCGTGAGCCCTGGCAGTGGGTTCTTCCACATACCAGCCATGAGTATTTTGTTTGACTGCAGCACTTCTAAACGACCTCTCAGAGAAAGGTGGGATCAAGGTGAGCTTTAACAACGCCGCTTTGGCAGCACATGGCTGCACTGCACAGGGTTTGATTACCACAGCCCAAGGAAAGGATTCAGAATTGGATTTCAATTTTTAGCAAAGCTAGAGAATGCTGCAGAGGGAAGGGAGAAGTACAGTAGATTTTCTTTTGCCTTTTTTTTTTTTTTAGTGAAAACCAGGAAGTGAAGAAACTCAAAAGATGTTAACAGCAAAGCAGGATGTCTAAGAACAAACAGTTGATAACGTGCCATGATAAGAAAATTGCTGCTCCCTGAAAAAAATTTTGCTCAGTAGGAAACACAGAACGAAGTGGGGCAAATGATCATATTCCAAAGACCACGGTGGTTTGGTTTGTTTGAAGATTTCAGGTAGCTCCAGTAAGGTAATCCTGGGGTGACCTCTCACAGTACCTTCCAGCATTAGCATCTTGGAGCATCTACTTCTGCTGTTTTCTATTGAAATTAAGGGAGTGTTGCACACGCTGATGGTTTGGGCAGTACGTGCTTTCCAACAATGTATTATTCCTTCATTACAAGACTGATGCATGCAATCCTTACCAATATAAATAATTTCACTCCAGTCACTCCAGAATCCATTTACAGCACACGTGTAATGATTTGCTCTTATCTGTATGGAGTATCTGCAGGTAACATCAATCCGTAATCTGAAGTCATGTGAATATGTTTTTGATACCTGTTAACAAAACAATACCATACTGTCACACATTATTTAAGACCAGGAAATCTAGAAAACAGATTAATCATGGTTTTTTTTTTTTTAATTTTTACAAGCTTCTTTAGTAGACTTGCACTGAACATCACACACTGCTTTGGAGAAAGTTGTCTGACTTTACAGGTGCCATTCCTCTCCTTATGTATCAGTATTTCAGAGCAAATCTTGTGAAATATGCCTTATTTTGGATTCTTCCTTAAGACCCTTAATGCTGGATGTTGAGAACTGTCCACCATCATCCTTCTGAAGGCAGAACACAGTACAAGGGAGTAACCTTCTCGTTTTTCTGTTTTCCAAGGTCTCTTGGAGATGGTTTGTTGCAGGCATAAATGATATCCAAAAAGGACATAAAACATGAAAACTGCTGAGATTTTGGCTTTGTTGAACCCTAGTCACAAATGGGACACAAGTTTCGCCAACAGCTCATAGTTTCACAAATGCACTGATAGCAGATTTTAATTTAAATGATCTTAAATGTGTACCATGTTTATGAATACAAAGGCTTTTTCTCCAGGTTGCATGAAGTCAATCTTTATCCATACAGGACAGTGAGTGTCAGGAGTGAAATGTAATGCTGGGGCACCAGAGAAGCAATTACCTGCTTGTTACCTGACTTCAAGTTGGTGAGGTAAAATTCGTATTCAAAACAGCCTTTAGGGAAAGTAGAAAGTGGCTTCTCCCATGTGGCCACGAGATCATTTTGCTCTAAGAATACAGTGACATTTCTGGGAACATTCACCTTTTCTATGAAAAGAAAATCACACCAGTAAGTTATATATAGAGTGAAGTTTAAATACTAGCAATTGAAACAGATTATAAATTGATCAAGTGTTCAAATGCAGCCTATACTTTCTGAAGTTATTTCACATTTTAGGCAGAAAATGTAAAGATTAAAGAGGAATAGGTGTATTGCACAAAATAATTAAAGGAAAAGAACTTTAAAAATCCACTTATAAGATCAGAAAAACTGGATTATTGAAGGAGAAGGTTATTAAATTACTCTTTGCAAAGTCATGAAATTAATCATAGACTGATTCAAACCGTTTTGTTTCTTTTTTTAACCAGGAAAGTTACTGAAATCTGGAAAAAAATCAAATGACCAGCAGCCATTTTGTGGATTGACAACATTCTCTCACAAGTCTTTCACAGTTCTGCTGGACTTTATTCATTGAACTGTTTGTTCATTTGCTTGTTTCTACTCACCAATGGCATTTTGGTTAAACAACTGCTGGAAAGGCTTGATTGCAGCATACTTGCTGGAGCCATTAATGTGTATTACAATGAGCTCATCAATCTCACCAGGAACAATATGAGTCACTGAGAACCTGCACTCTATATTCCTGTTCCACTTGTCTTTGATGTAATGTTGGCATTCTTCCATGTAGGTCTCATACCTAAATTAAAACATTTGTGAGAAATGCTCTCCAAAAAATTTTGTGTTGAGTAAAATGGGAGAAGATACCAACCTGTAAAATAGAAAGTACTCAGTATCTTCTGGTGCCCCTTTACCAGGAAGCCAAGTGCAATGGAGAGAAACAGTGCTAGAAATGGTGAAGTGAGTAACACAGGACAGATCAGTGACAGCTGTATTTTCAGCACCTACAGAAACACAGAATTATAAGACAGGAAGAAAATAAACACTTACTACAGAAGTTGCATGAAATTGGCACTTCTAAGACACTTTGACTACAGTCTTTTGTCCATTTTTATCTAGGTTTTGTCCAGTCCTGGTACTGATTGCAGTTCTACCAGTTATGGAAGGATGGAGATTCCAAAAAACCACCAAGTAAGGCTGTAGCACACAGCACCATGACGTACCTTCTGTGCACCTTGGGATTCAGGCAGTGTTTTGCCATCCTTGAGTGGATGGGAGTAGGTTATCTCAGCTTTAGCAAGCAATGTTTAGAATATTTTATATGGGTTACCTATGTTGCATCTTCAGATTGTATAGCAGGCTGTGGAGCCATACAGAGAGGCCTGGATTAAATGATTCTGTAAAACCATTGCAGCACGTAGAGTGAGAAATGCTGTATTATTCAGTATTAAACCTCTCAGCTTCTGATGTCTACTCCATAGACCAGTAGAGAACACAAATTCAGACCTTTTTCTCATTTCTTCTTACCCGGTGGAGGCTGGAGTTCTGCTGTCACCCAGTCGCTCGTCATCTGAAGACCCTGATGGAAAAGCAACGTGCGGACATGCGCCGAGAAACCATTGTGGAGTACAGCTGTTTGGAGACTGTGAGTCTTCACTGTATCATACTTGAAAATTAAAAGAAGAAAGAAAGAAAGAAGCAACACAAGATAGAAGCTTAATTAAGGGATCTGCTAAGAGTGGTCTACAGAGGGCGGGCTTTTAGCTGAGTGCCTCGCTACGTGGTTGCTTGAAACCATCACATACATCACACCTTCTGCTCCCCTGTTGAACTCAACAAGAAGTCAGCCTTCTTAGCACCCTGGACTTATTTTTATCTTACCTCTTCAAACACAGGAGTTAAGATTTTCACATCGTATCTAATAGTGTAGTTCTTTTGTTCCTGATTAGGACTCAGCTTCCAGCTTAGAAGTACTTGTGCTAATGCAGAGACTGTAAGGGTGAAGTTAACAGGTGGGAAAACCTGAACTGTAAGGAAGAAAACAAAGAAATTCTTAGTGCAGTAATCCTAAAAAAGTTGTTTAGGCCAATACCTATAGATAACGTAGTGAGCAATACAAGAAAACAAAAATATTATATCCTATTAAATTATAAATAATATAATAAAACTATATTATATTATATTCTCTCAATAGTTTCTCTCAAAGCATTTCTGATATTTGAAAAATACATTTAAATAACAACCAAAACTTCATCAAATAAGAGTTTACTTAAAACTTAGCTTAAGACGGTTATTATTTTTTTTTACAATGGTTTCATCTTTATAATTACAGTAACACATTACATTTGGCTTATTAATTGGATTCAGGCTTTTCAGTTGGATCCCCTAGAGAATTGGGCATCTGTACTGAGCAGGGTCGATAAGCGACCAGCCAAACAATCCATTCTTATTGACCCAGTCTTGCAGAACAGCGTGATGTGGGGGCTGACTACGTGAAGGCTGACAGCCACAAGAAGACATATGTGAGAGGAAAAAAAAGCATGATGAACAGAGGAATTAGGCATAAGTGGAAGAAAACACAGAAAGGATGAGAATGATAATTTAAAATGACAAGGCAAAAGGGATTCCTGGAGCTCTTATGGAAATGAAGAAGATCTCGTGCTGGGGAGAAATGTTAGCATATAAATAGCAATGCAGTGAAATTATCAATCTACTCTCTTCCATTTCTGGAGTGCTTCAGAGCCCATCCTCCCTCATTTGCCATGTCCCAGGCAGCTTTTAATGCCCGTTTCTTCAACTTTCAAGCAAGTGTTTGGCATTAGAGAAATGGCCTCCTGAAGAGTTAGAAAACCCCCGCACCAACTGCCCTGAACTGCTTGCTCCAAAATGCCCACAAAAAATGCCAATGTTAAGGTTCTTGATGTGCCAGGACAGAGACCAGGGCTGCTGCCCTCAATGTTCTATGCTGCCTTGTTTCTGCTGATAGGTGCAGTTTTATTCCTGGATGTAAAACTGTCCGGAACACTGCTGTTGTTGGAAGGAAAAGAACTTACCTGCTTTACACTGAAGCGTGCGTGGCTGGACTACGATTCTTATCCAAAGGAGCATCAGACAAACTCTCATCATGCTGGCTCTAAAGTTTAGACGGTCAGTGAGAAAAACCATGCATCAGAGTACATGGCTTGCAACCGTTTTACAGACAGGCTGACAGCCAAAACCAAGCCCAAGCCCAAGCGTTAAGCACGCAGACCATGGAGTAATCACAGCTACATGACCAAAGCAATAAAACCTTGCAGGGCACAGAATTTTCTCCTTCCCTTGCAGGAAGATACATCTTGTTGAAGCTAAAATTAAGTACAACTAACCACATCTCATTTTGCTCCCTTTGTTTTTTCCAGGCCCCCTTGAAAAAGCTGCTGTTTCCAGCACTGCCATGCGTGGATGCTCAGAGCAGCGGTCATGGACCTACAGCATCTCTTAGCAGAGAGAGTTGGCTTCAGGTAGGTTGGCTTTCAGTGGAGACCCATTCACTCCAAGAAAAACAGCAGAAATAGCTGTCTTTTTAGCTGCCACTGTATATAAAATGGCTGCTTGCTGGAATTTACTCTCCTGTTTCCATTTCACTGAGAAGCAGTCTCAGCGCTCACCTCAAGGCTAATTCTCCAGTGTTAATTACTGGGGGTAAGAGAAACTATTTTGTTTGTTTCTAATTTAAATGGGCGACTATTTTTAATGCTTGAAAACAGCATGTTCCTATGCTTCCTACAGATTGCTTCATGAAGTACTGAGGGAAAAAAAAATCTGTGTGTTATCATTCATGTATAACCTAATATAAACAACATGGAAATACAGAACAGCAGCTTTCCAAAATGTTCTCACAGAAGAGAAATACGCCCTCCTAGCCCAATCACACTGCTTCCCTGGGGCATCTACACAATTGCTTGTATGAAAAACATAATATTTTCAGACGGTAATGAGCAGAGAAAGCATCTTTAACCCATCAGTTCTCACTGAACCTCCAATAAATAACCCAGGGACTGGAAGCAATCCAATTGATCACAGTTGGAGTACTTCTGCTACACAATAACTATTTTTAAAAATGGTGTATGAGTGCTTAGTTCGTTAAAATGATGCATAATTCACAATGCAGTATGTTTCTTAATGTCCAAGTCTGCTCATTATCTGCATTTGTTTTCTGTGTCTATCTGGTATTCTGCCAGGCAAAGCGTCCATGAGGCTAATTGAACCTCTAGAGTTTTCTAATGGATTATTCCTGGAGAGTCAGTGTTTGCTTTTGCATAGGTTGGGTTACTGAGACATTTTGGTCAGATATTTTGGTTCTTCCAGAATACACGTGAATGATTACCAGGGCACTGTTACCTATACCATACATTTATGCTTAGACAATGCCCCAAGATTTTTTCCAATTGCATTACCATTCGTGAATGGTATCACACAGTCTGTGATAACAGGTTTGTCTCATGCCATGAAATCCTGAAAATACAATCAAAAAGTTAACAAATACCTACAAACAAGATGATGCTCCCCACAAAAACGGGCATAGTAAGTTCTCAGGATGAGTAAAAGCCTTGTTTATGGTTTTGGTTATGCGCAGTAAAAAGCAGTGAGGAGAAAGTCAAAGATGCATTCCCTTCATGGAAGGGTCTATTCCTTCATAAAGTGCAGTATAAATCTAAACACAGTGAGCAGCTGAATTGGTCATGATTTTCTTTCTTACAACTGACACACGAGTTCTACTGAGAGGCAATTGGTCAGGAGCAGATTCCAGATGCACTTCCCACCATAATGCAAAGATGACTTTTCAAAGTGGGGCCAATCTTCAAACAAAGCACAGAAAGACAGAAAAACAGACTGCAATGTAAATCCCAGGAGTTACCTGCAGAGTCTCCGAAGTTGTGTGAAGAGCCTCCTCTGTTTGTTCAAACGTCTTCTGGGTTGTCTCCCTGCGGGTTCCTTTTGCAACTGCTGTCTTTTAAGCACAGATGTGATAGGTACTTCAGAAATGATAGGAGATGATAAGTTAGACAAGCCTGCATTGTAAAAGGGAACTGCAGATTTAACCACAGGATGGAAGGCTCTGTTCTAGCATATGGTTTTACTTTATGTATCGAGGGTTAGTTCTATACCATACTATAGAATCTACTTGCAAAGCAAAGAATCTACTTGCTGACCAGTGCCATCATCAAGTTGTTCATCCCCTAGAAAATCAAATCCTAGTGTTGCTGGAAGACCGTGCGGAATTACCTTGTCCAGTCATCCTGCCATACAGCCATGTGTCTGTTGGTGGTATTTAGAGAAATTACTGGCACCAGAACAAGACCAGCTTCCCAATCTTGTGCAGAGAGCTCTGAGCTGTGATCCATAGGAAGGCTGGATAAGACAGGCTCAAAAGGAGTGGAAAACAACCTAAGGGCATAGAGAAAGCAGAAAGTGAGTCTGTTTGTAATAGGCCTAGGTAGGTATGGGAGGGCTAATGACATGTTCATTAGAAACCTGGATTGCAAATACAGAAAACCCTTCTAAATGTGAAGGTGATGCAAGCTGGTAGAGGTGAGTTCTTTGGGGACTAGAACTCAATTTAAGCAAGTTCTTCAAAAATCAGTGAAAATTGGGCACAGTTCAGCATGGTCAAGCTCTCAACTACATTTAGGTGCTATTAACTGCACATTACAGGCTATTAGTAATCAACTTGTGATTAGGTATCTGCTCTACAGAAAAGGATCTGGGGTTATGCCAGGTCATAAACCACAGAGGACTCAACAACTGTTGTGCACTTGTGAAAAAGGCGTGCTGGGGCAGCTGGAAGCTGGCATCCTCTGCGAGACACGTGAAGCAATCTTTCTGCTCTGCTCAGCACTGATAAAGCCCCCACTCAATGCACTGCCCCGTGCAGATGCTGCACTGGAGAAAGAAACAGAGCAAACAATGGGAGGTCAGTGTACAGTGATGGATGCTACAAAAACCAGAACCACTCAAAACAAATTAGGGGAATGCCCATGCAGAGGTGCAATCTTAGAGCACAAATGAAGGCTTTCACCTGTTTTCCAAGTCCATTGCAGTGGGAAGCTAGAAATAAAAGGTAATGACAGGTAAAATTCAGGTTAGGTGTGAAGGGAACGTTCAGTGCTGGGGGGGGGGGCAGAGGAAACTATGGCTGGGCACCTTTAGACAAAGTCAGCCAGGAATGAGGGTTGTAAGGAAATCCTGCCAGGAGGCACGGAGATACGTGAGGTGCCCTGTTTTCTGTATCTGTGCACTCCTGAATAAACAGCTAACTGTTGAGCAGGGAGCTCTGACAGCTGCAGCTCGGCGTTACAGCAGAAAGGAGGTTGTTTCTAAAGGTGAGGCAGGATATTTAACAAAAGAAGCAGTCACAAAAAGAACAGGTAAGAAAAGGTTATGTTCTTATGTTCTTACACAAGCCTGACAAAATTATTGTCAATGTGAGATGTTTTTGGCAATAGGTCATTCCCCAAAACCCTTTTATGCTCGCAAGCACTCTCCTTTCTGCAGCAAAGTGCTGATCTGTTGGGTGCTTGAAAGGCTGAACAGATCTGTATAACATCTCTTTTCAGGTACAAAGAACCCGTAGCATTTTTGGCAGAGGCAGATTTATTCCGGCTTGGAACTTCAAAGGCAACCAAGCGGTGTGTTTGAGCAGCTCTGCAGCACCGCTCTGCAAATCTCACACATGGAACCAGCGGCGTGACGGCACGGCATGGAGAGCAGACGGGCACCCCCAGCTGTGCCTGGGATTTGGCACAGGGCTCCCACCCAAATGTTTCCACACGTTAAAAGCTGAACGAACTCAGGAGCTGCTCCTGCACGTAGTTCAGCAGCCACAGCGCTTAAAGCTGTTTCAGGATCGCTGACGGGACCTCGCAACCAGCGCACGGATGGACCGTGAAGGTTTCACAACACGTGGAGGTGTTTAGAGCTGTTTCCCGAGGAACACGGGCACGGTGGGGATGGGACGGCGGCGCTTGTTCTCTGCACACCGTACTGACGCGTGCTTCCGCACCGCCGTGGAACGGGGCTGAGAAACAAACAGCGCAGCGCGGGGCGCTACAGCGGGACCGCGGTTACAGAGCGAGGCGGAGGGAGAGCAGCGATGCGCGGATCGGCCGGCAGGAGGCGCCCGCGAGCAGCCTAAAGGGGAGGGCGGGGGGCGTCGCCGGGTCGCGGCGCTGATGTCATCGCGCTGCGCCGCGCCGGGGCCGCACGGAGCCGCTCCCCGGGCCTAGCGAGGCCGGCAGCCCACGGGTGAGTGCGACGCTCCTGCGAGGGGCCTCTCCCCGCTGCTCGGGCCCGCGGGCTGACGCGGCGTTTCTCTGTTTCTCCCCAGATGTGGGCTGAGGTGTTGCTTCTGCCCTGCAGGGCTCTGCTGCTTCCGCCTCTCCGGTTGCGGCACCGCGCGGCGCGCGCCATGAGGCTGCAATCCCCGCAGTTCCAGGCGCTCTTCACACCGGGGCTTCGCAGTGTGGCAGGTGAGGGCCGGGCGGGGCCTCTCGGGAGGGGCTGTGGCGGCTCCGGGTCCCTCACAGGTGGGGGCTGTGGCGGC